TACTGCTTCTGATGAATTTGATGTGGATTTTGGTGAACAATGCCCTCTTCTCTGTCAACGATACCTGTATGAATTCTGTAAGGAAACATGTAATCTAATCCAATGTTCCTTTTGTTGCGTTTCTAAGATGGAATAAAATTCAGTTTCCTCTATTCTGGTTTGGGCCATAATCACAAGATTGGTACTAGTGTTATGCATTGGTAGCCGATAATCGTTGATTGGTGTGAATCTCGTATTAAAGCTACTAATATCTTATCATTTTGTTTCGGGAATAATTTTGTTCATCACTTTTAATCATGGGATAACGTTCCCACTCTTTAATTACACTATACAGATTCATAATGTTCCCTAAGCCTAAACTTCATTAACAAAACAATTTTGCTCACAATCTTTAACCCATTCACATAAAACTCATCATGTAATATTTTATTAGTCAAACCCTGAACTTTTATAATTAATCACAGTTATTATTCTGGACTGTTGTTAAGTTTGAAGCTGAAAATGAAACTCTGAAACCAATCATTTTCCAGAAGAAAAGAAAAATGCCCAAAAATGTCTCCGATTTCTCTGAACCGTCCTCCATCTCCACCGCGCTCCCTCTACCTCAAACACAAGCCCCTGCACCCCCTTTCCACTCTCCCAAAACCTAAACTTTCTCTGAAACCCTCCCTCCACAAATCCCATAATTCCACCAACGTCCCCTCTCTTCTTCCCGCCACCCCAAAACCCCAAAACGACCTCCCTTTTTCTCAGACCTTCCATTCTCTCACTTCTCTCAAACCCTACATTCTCTCCCAACACAAGCCAATCCTCTTAGGCTGGCTCTGCAGCCTCGTCTCTGTCTACTCTCTCTCCAAAACCGTACCCAAAATCGGCAAATTCTCCACCTTTATCGAAAATTTGGACCCCATCACATTGAAAAATGAGGGCTTGGCCGTGGGGGTATTGGTCCTCGCGAGGCTTGTTGCTGTGTATTGGCAGCAAGCGTTTCTCTGGGATGCGGCGTTGAACGCTGTGTATCGGGTTCGGGCTGCCGTGTTCGAGAAGGTTCTGGAGAGGGACTTAGAGTTCTTCGAAGGTTATGGTGGTGTTTCGAGCGGAGATATTGCTTATAGGATCACTGCTGAGGCCTCTGATATCGCTGACACTGTGTTTGCTCTTCTCAATGTGAGTAAAGTCTTCAAGTTTTGATTGATTGTGTTGCCAGAGCGACTGTTAGTGTGTTGATTGATTATGTTGTTTTGATTGGGTTTGTGAATGGCAGACCACTGTGCCCAGTGCTTTGCAGCTGTTAGCTATGGCTGCTCAGATGTTGGCTATCAGCCCTTTGCTATCTTTGATTTCAGCTGTGGTGAGGAAGTTATGCTTTATCTTTTGTGCACCTAAAGCTACTGATTATGCTCTTGGACTTGGTTGAGGGTGTGTCTTGTTGTGTTTTGTGTTTTGTGTTTTGGTTTATGGGTAGGTGATTCCATGTATGGCTCTTATCATCATCAGACTTGGCGGTAAACTCCGTAAGATATCTAACAAGGCCCATCTTAGCATTGCTGCTCTCTCTGCTTATCTCAATGAGGTATATGTTATGTCTCAATTTACCTGCCCTCTCTATTGTATCTTTCCAATGAGTGCTCCACTCTGGGTCTCGCATTAACATTTGCTGGACTTTCTTTGTCATTAGCTGGCTGATTGTGTTTATTTGTCATATGTTATCATTCTGTAGGTCCTCCCAGCAATTCTTTTTGTGAAAGCAAACAATGCAGAATTGTGTGAATATGCTAGGTTTAGGAAGCTTGTTCACGATGACCTCTCTGCACATTTGGAAAAGAAGAAAATGAAGGCGCTTATTCCTCAGATTGTACAGATTATATATTTTGGAGTATTGTTTATGTTGTGTGCTGGTTCACTGGTGTTTTCTAGTAGTTCTTTCGTTAGCGGTAGCATGGCTTCATTTGTAACAGCGTTGATTTTTCTGATTGAGCCAATTCAGGTAATATTCTGTGATATGAAGAACCTCTACCCTTCTCAACTTTGTTTGTGGGTTTTTGTCATATTTGATAGATTTTCTTAACATGGTTAGTGTATAACTGGAAGTTGCCTTTTTAGGTTTCTTAGTATTTCGGAGCATTATTTAATGACCTTGACCTCACCTTCTTGAAATTCAGTAGATACTAGTATACTACCAACTTACTCTGCTTTTTGCTATTTATGAGATGAAAATAGTTTCAGCAGTCTCTCAATAAATCATTCCTGTAGTTGTCTGAAGTGTATTTGCTAATCATTCTGTGTGTTATTATTATTGTCAGCTATTGAGGAGCTGTCTTAAGTTATCAATCTGAATGTAAAGAATCACGCAGGGTGTTGGAAAAGCATACAATGAGTTGAAGCAAGGAGAACCGGCTATTGAACGCTTGTTTGAACTTACTAGGTTCAAACCAATGGTATATTTTTTTTCCTGAATAGAAGAAATTAATGCTAAATTATGGTTTATTGGTCTCTGTATTTCAATCATTAATGCACACACACACATACATATATATTTCTTTGTAAAATTTAGTTCTACATTATTTAATTTTGAGTTAATCTTTGTGAAGTAAAAGGAGTTACTTAAAAGAGAGAATAGGATGGTTGCTAAAATAAATTTCTGAACAGAGGAAGCCAAATTTAGTTCTGAGGTCAGCATAGTGCAATCAATATGAATGCTCATTGGGTATAATTATATTCTTTTGTGCCTTTGACAAGATGCTTCATGCTACTTCATTATAACTCAATGTTGTGATAATTCAATGTAGTTATTATTCATGTTGCTTTGGCATCTATCAATTTATTCTTGAACACAGATAAAGGAGAGCCTGGATGCTGTTGATTTAGACCAAGTTACAGGAGAGGTCAAATTTTGTGATGTATCATTTAAATATGGGGACAACATGGCTTATGTTTTGAATGGATTGAATCTGCATATTAAAGCTGGAGAGACAGTTGCTGTTGTCGGGCCCTCTGGAGGAGGAAAGACAACCCTTGTAAAACTACTTCTTCGGCTTTATGATCCTTTATCTGGTGAGCTCTTCAATAAAGATATAGCTTTTTCCAAAACCAGGGAAACCACTATCCCACTCCCACCTCTTACCTCTAAAGCCCAAGGGAATTCTGCAAAATTTCTCGACTCTTTGTTGTTCAATTTTGGAATATGAATTTTTTTTGTGGAGGCTGCTTATTGGATTTTCTCATTTTTACAGGTTGTATACTTATTGATAACCACAACATCCAGAGCGTGAAGTTAACAAGTTTGAGGAGACATGTTGGCCTGGTTTCCCAGGATATAGTGAGTGACGTATGATTATATCTTTTGGTTTTACTACATTCGCTAAAACACAAGACCTTAACTCTGCTTCCATACTCATATAAAGTTTGTCAGTTACCTCAGGTTGTTTGTGCTATTTGAATTTGGAGTTGTTTGATCTGCTTTATATGTGTTACATATACTATTGTTATGCACGAGATTGCAAAATGATAAATTGGTAAGTTCAACTAGTATTGGACTGTATTTTGCACTCTAAAAACTACTTGAAAAAGTTACGAAGTTTAGGAGACTGTTCTTTTGTATAATAACATGGACGTATGGTTAAGACTTGAGAGTTTATTTTAAGGGTATGATGTGAACACTAGATAACTAAAATGTCTGAAAGATGAGACTCATGACTCTGGAAATACAGTTTCTTTCTTCTTTATTTTTAATAAATCTTTTATAATATTTTTTTTGTTGTCCAAATCATAATATTATCTTGGTAACTTTGTATGTATTAGACACTTTTTTCAGGAACAGTTGCTGAAAATATTGGGTACAGGGATCTGTTGGCAAAAATTAACATGGAAATGGTAGAGGATGCAGCACGAACTGCAAATGCAGATGAATTTATCAGAAATCTCCCAGATGGATACAAAACCAACATAGGACCAAGAGGCTCAAGTTTGAGTGGAGGTCAGAAGCAAAGGTGAAGCATCCCTGATTCTAACATTGGTATTTAGCATGATTGTTAGGTCCAGCCTGCGAAAAGAAAAACTCATGTTGCATATGGTGATTTTCTACATGTTAAGTTTGCTAATCAACTTCTCTGTTTGCTCTCTTCAAATACAGACTAGCTATTGCAAGGGCACTCTATCAGAATTCTTCTATATTGATTTTGGATGAAGCTACTTCTGCTTTAGATGGCAGGTCTGAGTTGTTAGTTAGACAAGCTGTCCAGCGCTTGATGGAAAATCACACGGTAAGGATGAGCATGTCCTATCTGTTTGGTTTGCCCTCCGTTCCTCTCCCATCTTACAACTTTCTAATTTTGTTAACTGTAGTACAATCTTTTATCTAGATCTTGAATGAATACATTTTAATGAATCAGATCTTGGCTTGGTTTGTGAAAAATAGCTTTTACATTTTTCACTTGCAAAATTATGTAGAGTGTCTAAATTAATCAGATATTGTGCTTATTAACAGGTCCTGGTGATTGCTCATCGGTTGGAAACGATTCTGATGGCTAAACGAGTGTTCCGTTTAGATGCCGGAAAACTTGAAGAGGTAACCCGCTCGAGTCATTTGGGTGGTCAGCATATGGCATGGGGCTCGTCATTTGATTGCCATGGCAAACAGTAGCGGCATACATGTAGATAAATAGTGTGAATTTGTTTATTTTATCAAAATTGTACCAAAATAACCTAGATATGAAAAGTTACTCTCATTACAACCTCCTTCTCCTTCACAACTGGTAGTAGCCATTTACTTTAGCTTGTAAGAGAAATTGGTCTTAATCCATACTACAAGGCAAGGAAAATTAAGAAACCAAAATATCAATTATATTAGTCTAAACACTGAACCAAATCAAAGACAGAGGTACTAGTCTTCATGCTTATACTGACAACAAGCACAAGATAAAATTTAGACAACCAACAACACGACATCCTAAGACTTATGTTATAACATGCACACAACATAATACAAATTCGGGAAAAGATCAAACCAGATCTCTATTTCTTTCCTTGAAAACAATTTTTGCCTTAGAAATATTCTTGCTTTTCTTTATCTTCCTCCTAACATATTGCTTCGGCAAATGAATTATGACCATCTTCTCCAAATTCTGAGCATGCGCAAGCATATACATTGCAAACTCAACTCCATTAGATCCATGCGAAAGCTCTATCGTAACCTCCTTCAGCTGTTTAATAAAAGCAAGGTTTTGCATGCTCCAGTGTCCCATAACAAACCCAGATGCCTGGAAAAGCAAGAATACATTGAAAATTTCCAACAAAAACAAGTTAAGAACTACCAAAATATAGAGTCCAATTGCTTTAACAAGGTCTTGATTAAAATGACAAAACCAAGCGTAAGAGAGAGACTGAGAAATAACCTACACTTTTAAGTCTTAACTTACATTATTAGATTCGGGCTCGACTAAAGGCGGGCTAGACTTTATGTATAAGGTATACAAGTTATGCAGTCCAGAAAAAAGAAAGACCATTGCTGGTACTAGGTCATTAATAAAGCTCCTAATATGAACACGCAAATGGCGAATATTTTCAAATGGAGCTGGCATGGATCCATCCCTAAACAGAGCCTGCAATGTTATAAAGGCACACAACATCATGCTTCACAATTTACTTTTCAATTCTATTGAACAAAAAGTAAAAAAAAAAAGAAAAAAAGAAGAAGAGTTTTCATTCTAGCTCCTGCAACTTTTCTTAATGTAAAGGCAATGGCATCCATAATTTTTAAAACAATAATGAAATGTATGAAGGGTTCACTTTACCTTAATGGTCTCTTCATTTAGATTAAGAAAGTTAACCTCGGATGAAGTGTAAACATCATCAAATACATACTTATAGTCATCTGCTTCAGGATCCAGAAAAATCCCCACTTCTTTTAAACATCCAGGGTTTCCCAGACTTGGGTTGCGCACAAAATTCCCGAACCAATAAAACTTTTCGAGATTTGGGGCAAAAATACTTAATGATTTACCATTAGGGGTAGCAAATTTCCAGTCTATGAATATTTCTTCAAGTTTCTCACCGGAGATGTTGAGGTGGCAGATGTCAATCAGCTTGTGACACTCAAGAGAAAATGATTCCAAAGACCAGCTTTCGATGGTGACATTTTTTGGCCCATAAACTTGGTGAAGGTTTAACTCCTTAATGACTTTGCAAGAACACGAGATCCATTTGAAGAACCCCTCATCTACTATATTAACCTTGCTCAAGTCCAAGTACTGGAGATTAGAGAAAAAAGTGGAGGGCACTTCAATCCTACACTTCATGTCCAACGATAGATGCACCAAAGATTCACAAGGAAAGACACAAGATGGAAATGCCATGTCCTCAAACATAGAGATCTCAAGATCAAGAACTTGCACTTTACACCTTACTGCATTGTGGATCCATGTCATGATTCTATAATACTCATCACAGAAGCATTGCGTAGCCTCATCAGCAGGTAATCGATGGCGAGCCCAACAAACACTAAACTTCATTATCTTATTATCCCCACGGTGAACCAAATACCTATCCAAACAGTTCAACAATTTCAGCCTTTTACCACACGTCAATGTATTTGCCTTGGGAAATTCATCAAAATGCAATACTGGAGACAACAGGTAGAGTTGTCTACATCTTTTCGACACACAGCCGAAATGAGTGAGGTCTTTTATAGAAAGGCGGCAAAGAATGCGAAGGGCAACTTCGTCAGGAAGATGACTAAATATGTCTACCCTTCTACTCTTAGCATGCATTCGTGCTTGACCTGGCCTACTTGCAGTTGCCATTAGCTTGCTCTTGTGTTCCATTGGGTGTCTTTTTTGCTTTTGTAAGATAGGTTGGTTTCAGTCTAGCTATAAGGGAAATTATAGAGTTACCGGATTGAATACTAAATCATCAATTATATTCATATTTATTTTGTATTTATATACATCTATACACTGAACCAAATGAAATTAAGAAATGAACCCAAATAAACTCAGAGGAGTAGTCTTGATAGGGGCACATACCATTCATGTATAGACACCAGAAAATTCGAATGCATCTTCCTTGGATTGCCAAGTCCCTTCAGACAGAGCTGAAAACCCTAATTTTGATCATTTGGGGCTGTGCACAATAACTGGGTTTTGGGTCTTTTAGGCTTTCTGATGTGGGTTTAGTGTAAGAAATAGTAAAAATTCATACTTTTGTAACCCCAAAATTTTGAAATTTGAAATTTAAAATTCTTATCGAGAATCTGTCTGAGCTTCGTTTGTTTTAGGAAAGCTCTTGACTACCTTTAGAGTAAACTTTCGATGAGAGTGTGACAACATCACGTGATGTTACCAACTCACGTTATAACACGTGTGTACTCTTATTCATGTCATACATTAAGTTATAAACCCGTTACCCAACCATGTTTTGACTCGCGGATTATAGTAAGAGCATCTCCAACAACTGGAATGCTAAAATGGACGAGCCATATTAGCAAAACTCTCTCCCACAGACTTGTCAAACTTAGTCACCAAAGCTGCAACCCCTTTCTCTCTCTTTAAAATTGGCAATTTAACCTTGCCTCTTCAAAACATTTATTTTACCGTGGAAGAACAAAACCTACATTAAAAATGCTAAAAACATGAACTTTTTCTTTTAAAATAATAAATACATAGACTTTCTTCACCAGTTTTCGAAGAAACCTACATTGAAAATACTAAAATAACAAACACTACATTAATTGAATTCAAGTGTATGCTAGGACACAAATTATTAAAGTAGCAAACAAACCTTTTCAAATTGTTCAATAGGTCAACCAACTTCAATTTGAAGAATTTGGTTTGCTACTATTGTTGGAGGTGCTCTAAGATTTTGGCAGTGTTTCAGTTTCACACAAAAATTTCTCGTACTTCTTATGTTGGTAACAACCCTCCCCAAAATTTTGCCTGTGAGATTCTCAAAACATAGTGTATTTGGGTCTAATCAAGTGGATTTTTGTTATATTTGAGAGTATTTATTAAAACTCAAGAAGAGGTTATTTGGCTTTGATTGTTATTAGAGGTTTAATTGGATTTATGGGTGGAATGATCCTAAGATTAACTTTAGACCACTGGTGACAAACACATGGTTTAAGTCATTTTGAATAGATAGTCTATGTAGGACTTCGCATGGGACATCTTACTCACAATAAGGGATTCTATTCTAGCTAGGAGCACACAAATCTGAATCTTTGTCAAAGACAGCGGTGGAATTGGAAGAAAACAGCAAGACAAATACATATGCATATTTAGAAACCCAATAGTGATTTGATTTCTCTCCTCATTTAGCTCTTGGGAGAAAATTTCATGCCGAAGCTCCCTTTATCCCCTAAAGCAAAAAATCCCAACATCCCCAACCCACGCACCCGACAACTTTCCCTTGTTGCCTGCCCCCCCCTTTTCCTCTTTATCTCTCTCTTCGATCTCCATCACTAGATCACCATGGGTGGCTGAAGACCTCGAGGTCTCTAATCACCCACCCGGTGTTGGAGTTAGGAGAGAGATGGGGAAGGGGTGGCCGGCAAAAAGAGAGTCGCCTTCAAGGTGGGTGAATTAGGGGAGGGGCAGTTGTCAGGCTGGATGAGTTAGGGTAGGGTGTTTTTCTTTTTCACATTTTTTTCTTAATTTATTTTATTTTGATGGGGCTTAAAATCAGCATTACGGAGGAAAATAATTTGAGGGATTTTTTTCTTCTCTGGAAATTACATGGGGTGACAATAGAATTCCGCTTAATGATTTGCCAACTACATGGGGTTTTCAGACCAGTACAAATGAAAAAACAATACGCAGTGTTGGAAATGCAAAGCACCACTTGATTTGGGGAAAAAAAACGAAACTCACTGCACATCAAGCATTCAGAAGCATCAATACACTTTACGACAACTACTAGTTCAGTTAAAGCTAAATACAGTACAGAATTACACCAAGAAAACAAACTAAGGATAGCCATAGTCATCAAAGTTCAAAGACCAAATCGAGTCGAGAGATAAAGGTCTCTGCAGCATTCGGGAAAACAACCAAAACGCGCGAGGTCCATGCTTTCTTGTTCCTCTTTCTTGATCTTCTTCAAAGACAACTATGGCATTGGGAGCTTTCTTGCTTTCATTTAACTTCCCTATAGCATTAGATTGCTCAGGTGAATGCACAATCGCCATTTTCTCCAAGTTTTGAGCATGCTCGAGGATATACCTTGCTAACTCGATTCCATTAGACCCATTGGAAAGCTCAATGTTTATCAACCTCAGTTTCTTAATAAAAGCTAGGTTTTGCGATTTCCAGAATTCCGCGTCAAACCCGGATGACTGGAAAGGCAACAAAGAAACAAGCAGATCAGCTGAAAAATTGATGAATGTTTAAGAAAGAATAGATGGAAAATGCAATAAAAAGAGATAGAACTTTTACTTACTCTAGCTTCAGGGTGGAAGGTGATTTGGTCAGATTTTAGGTACAAAGTATTCAAACTTGGCATTCCTCGAAAAAAACAGACCATTGCAGGGACTAGAAAATCAAACAAGCCCTCCATGTGCATTTGTAAATAATGAATCCGAGCACAAAAGAGTGTTGGCATAGGACCTTCCTTTAACAGAGCCTGCGATGTTAAAAGGCAAACCCAAAATAGGAAAAGATGAAGAGAACCCAAAAATCTTCCAAGAATAGTAATCAAAACAACCAAAATCAAGTTGAACTCATTAATTGGTCAAAATAAAAACGCATACAATGTATGTAAATAAGAACAAATTGCAATTTTTTTTTTTTTTTTTCCAAAAATAGAAAATAAATCATGAGCTTGAAGGTAGTGTCTCTTTAATTACCTTGGTGATCTCTTTGTGTAGAATAAGAACTTTAACCTCAGGCATGCTGCAGAGAATCTCATATATGATGTCGAACTCTTTTCCAGACTTAACCTTCAAAGAAAGCTCAGCCTTCTCTAAACACGTTAATTTCCCCACATTTTGGTGAGAAAACAAACTCCCCCACCAAATCAAAGATTTAAGATTTGGAGCGAAAAGATTTAACGACGATTTCCTGTCAAGAAAAATATTTCCCCAATAGATATGCAAGCTTTCAAGTTTCTCTCCTGAGATGTTGAGATTGCAGCCAGCACTCAAACCGGGACAACGAAAAACAAATGATTCCAGAGAAGAGCTTTCGATGGTGATATTTTGTACCCCATAAATATCATGAAGACGCAATTCCTTTATGCACTTGCAGCAACATGAGATCCACGTGAAAAACTCCTCCTCTACTATACAAACTTCTCTCAAATTCAGGCTTTTGAGATTAGATGACGAATCGAGGGGCGGTGCTTTAAGAACACACTTCATGTTCACTGATAAAGACCTCAAAGAATCACAAAGAAACATGAAAGACGATAATGCTAATGGTGTCTCTTGATGCACACAGATGTCAAGATCAAGATCTTCAACTTTGCACCTTACTGCATCGTAGACCCACGTCATGATCCGAAAGCTCTCATCACAAGAGCAGTCCTCCACGTAGCGGTTATGTGGAACCCAATGGATGTGGAAGCGTTTTAACTTATCGTTCCGGCGATGAGCTAACAACCTATCCAAAGAATTCATCACCTCTAATCTCTTGCTACACGGGGATTTCTTCATGTCGGGAAATTCATTGAAATTGAAACTCAAAGTTGGAGTTGACAGGTGAAATTGTCTGCATCTTTTGGACGCACAGCCCACTCGTACGATGTCTTTTAGATCAACGAAGGAAAAAATGTGATGGGCGATAGGGTCTGGAAGATTACTCAATCTATCTATCATTATACTCTCAGCATGCACTCCTTGACCTTGACGACTTACAGTAGCCATTAACTTAGGTTTGTGTTCCATGATAGCAACTACGGTGTTTTTGCGTCTGTGAGAGATTGGAGTTGGTTTCAATATATAGCACTAGCCTAGAAGGAAAGAGGAATCAAATGCTACAACAATTATCATTTATTACACACTAAACCAAAATAAAGAAAAGTAGTAACTTTTGATACTAGTACTTAGCACCATTCATGTACACCCTTACTCTAGTTAGTATGAGGATATGCGGGACAATCTAGTTGGATCGCTCCCATCTTCCTCAGTCCTGCAAATTTTGGATCGAATTTGATGAATTCGAAGAAGGAAACAAAGAACCCTAATTTTGTTAATTCAGATGTCCTGTATAATGTGGGAGAGAAACGTACCTGCAACTGGTTTATGCTATGTATTACCACTTGGTTTAGTGAGTGGTTTTTGTTGTTTCAAGTGCTACTTTCTCGAAGTGTAACCAGTTTATCACACCCCTTTCTCTCTCGTCACTTGTATTGGTACATGGTTTTAGTGCGTGGTTTTTGCTGTTTCCTGAGCTGTTTTCTCAAAATGAGTTTATCTCTCACCCCTCTCTCTCATCACGTGTATTAGTACCTGGTTTTATTGTGTCATTCTTTTTGTTTCCTTTTTAGTTTTCTCGAAGTGTGAGAGTGAAACGCACCTGCAACTCATTTATGTCACCCCTCTCATCAGGTGTATTGTTAGTTTCAGTGTAGTTCTTGTTGTTTCTTATACTGTTTTCTCGAAATGTGAAAGTCAAACATACTTGCAACTTTCTCCCTCTCTCTCATCACGTGTATTGACACTTTTAATGTGTGGTCCTTGTTGTTTCCTTTACTGTTTTCTCGAAATGTGAGAGTGAAACGTACATGCGACTCATTTATGTCACCCCTCTCATTAGGTGTATGGTTTCAGTGTAGTTCTTGTTGTTTCTTATATTGTTTTCTCGAAATGTGAAAGTCAAACATACTTGCAACT